ACCAAGACAATCACGTAGTTCTTTTAGTATTCAGTAACTAGATAAAGTTTTTCTTTTGTGAGAAACTATGTGCTTCTAATTATATGAATATAAAAATTAGAAAATTCACTATTTTTCTTCTGATTTGGCTTTCAGCAAGCTCAGGGCTGAACTAAGGCCCCATTCTCAATATATGCTTTCCTCTTCATATTTAAGTATATTCTCCTCATCTTTTCATGCCCTTTAATTCATTGTTATTTATATTTTATATCAATATATCTAAACTCTATAGTAAAAAGCAGAGGGTTCATTAATTTTAACAAAAATATTATTCCAAACCATTTATTATACCCACTATATGCCACTCATTATTCCAGAGGATGAGGATACCATTAGTTAAAAGATCATTTTCATGATAGAAGAGAATGTGTTTTTCTATATCCTTAAAAGGGGGGAAAATCTGCCAATCAAACAATTTCAAGAATATGGACATTTAAGGCTTTCCTTAAAAGAAAACCCTGCCAACATAAATTTAATCCTCATGAAGAGTTCAGTTAATACAGTGTGTTGATATCTTCTGGCTGCTATTTACTGGAATATGGAAAAATTTACTTGCTACACAACCTCCTTTTCAGGGTCCTACAATAAAACAGTCTTCATCCTTGAACATGTGCTAAGCACTAATAACAGCACTAATAACACCATGAAATAAAAGCTTTTAAATAAATTTTCCCTTAAAGCAGAGATCAATTTAAACATTGTAACTTCCAGGAAAAGAGTATTTGGGATCTTAGACATCCTTTCTCAGAATATTGGATATAACAAATAAATAGCTCCTAATGGGGAAGAAATAATGCAGGAGTGTAGCGACTTAGACATGAACATTGTTAAAACAGGTAAATCAGCTCCTTAGAGATGACCAACCTTGAAAATTTGGTGGGCCAAAATTTATCCTTGGTTTTGAGCTTTGTTTTGCTTTACTGGCTTGCAAATTTGTGTCCCACAGTGACCCTAGACTGGCCTGCCTCCTACCAGCCTGATGTTAGGAAAGGTATTGAAATTCACAAGGATCTTACCCTTGGCTTCCACTTCCCTGGCTCAGCATTCTCACTCATTTTAAGGTGTTGCCAGCTCAGCATAGCCATGTATTCAAGGAAGACCTCCCAGCCAGGCCGCCCACAGATACACTTGTGCTTATCACCTGCCCCAGCAACTGCAAATAGACTAGCACTTACCAGAGGAACCTGTTTATCCTCCCTATGTAGGAGAGAGCCCTGTAAATTATTACATTTCAAAAGGTGTAAAATATTGGACTTCTCTGCTTGAACTATGTGCATTTAGGTTATAGAAAGCTCTCTAAATAACAGAATTGCCCTGACTTCACTTCTCTCAAAACTACCTTCAAACATTTTTAAAGTGATATGCCTTTGATGGCTTTCTGAGCCAAATGCTGGGATACATGGCATTTTATAAATAATTTTAAATAGTCTCAAGGATTCAGAAAAGCCTCAAATAACAAAGTGTGAACACGGATCGTAAAAAAATCAGAGGGCTTTAATGAAGAGAAAAGCAGATCAAAAATAATTAAAAAAGAGAACCCAATTCATTCCCAAAATGCCAGAAGAGAATTTTTAGAATTACAGTAAAGCAATCACTTCCTTAGTTTGTACAACAAAACACAAACTTTGTGGGACAAGATAAGACTTGGTCAAGATTGTCAAATGTATCAATATAGATGCGAAAACTAACTTCATAATAAATGAGTAGGGGGAAAGTCGTCCGAGAGGAATATCCAAACCATTGAATTGGATATCTTCTGATCAAATTTCACTGGACATACCATTCTCAGGCCACTAAGACAGTTGAATCACATAAGCACAAAACACGGGCAAAGGACCAATTTCGCGAAGGCGACAGTCTCCCTTCCTCCATTCCCTTTAGATCTGTCGTCCTGGCCTTTCATTCTCAAGAGCATTTTGTTTCTAGGACAGTCCTCCCCCCATCACTACCACCTTATCCATCAGTCTAATTATCTCATTATTCAAATCTTTCAAAAAGAAAGAGAGTAACTGCAGGTTACTTTCTCTACTCCCGGGCATCTTTTTTTTTTTTTTTTTTTTTTTCCTAGTCTTAGTAAGCCTTCAACAAACTTTCCCTGAAAAGGATGTCACCGAAGGGCAATGAAGCTTAAAATCCCGCCATTCTCTCATTTTCTCTCTCTTTTCTTTCTGCCTACCCCACCCAAAACTCCTTACTCCGCCCCCCACCTCCAATCCGCGATTTTTTTTAAGCATGCTGGAGGCTGGGGTCTTTAAGAGAACTTCCTCTGTTTCTCCCTCTAACCCAAGACTAGAGGGACAGGAGAAGGACAAGGCACCTAAGGGGACAGGCAAATGAGTTATTTGAGGGGAATAAAAGATCTAATGGAAAAGTCGCCCTAATTCTGTATAAAGTATTTTAAAAATAAATGAGCGTACCCTTTCCATAGAGTTCAAAATGCTGTCTTTTGCTCTAAGAATTCTTCTTTACCAGATACAACGCCTACTATATACTGTTCTAAACATTTTAAAAATATGATCTTCTTTGCTTTTATTTACACACACACACACAAAATCCGTGTGTGCTTTCGTCCCTGCTGTGTTTTTCTTTATGACACGGTACAGCGGGTAAGTCTTCAAAGACAAATATGGAAAAACTTTAACCAGTTGCTACTTTATTGCAAGCAAACCATTTCCTTCTGCAATTTTTCGCAATCATTATAATTAAATACACTAGTTGGGGGGGGGGGCGGGGGGTTTTTTTTTTTTTTTTTTTTTTCCAATTATGATTTTAGGTTTTCCTTCAGGCGTTTGGAAGCGCCCGCTAATTTGCTCGCGTGGCAAACGTTAATTGCACTTGTAGGCATTCTGAAAAACGTGCAGCCCTCACCCAGAGTTGTGAAGGCTGAGCTCGCGAAGACCAGCCGCCGAGTGTTCACCTGTGGCTGGGGCGCAATAACCACTCGCGCGCTCAGTCTGGGGAGCTGGGGCCGGGATCCTGTGTGCACTGGGCTCACCCTCAAAAGAATTTCGGGGACCTGGAGCGGGGATGGCGTCGGGTTGCTGGCCTACTCTGTTCTGAGCAACCGCTCTCAAGCAGCCTGCGCTACCGCGGACAGAGGCCCGAAGTCCCACGCAGGCCGGGCGCACGCTTGAGGTTGATAGCCGAGATGGAGAGTGACGGCCACCCGGGGACCCGGGGCCAGGCACTGACCCGGGTCTAACCCTACCAGGCCCCACCCGCTCCACGCTGATTGTGTGATTAGCCCGGGGTTACGTTTCAGAAGGCAGAATAGGACGTTTCGGATTTCTGTTCACACGGTTATTGAAGGCACCGCTGTAGGGACCGCACAAAAGAAACCGAGGCAAGTGGGGAAGGAGTTTTATGTTTTAATCAGAGTTTAACACCCACATTGCGGGTCCTCTGCGTTGATCCGGCTCCTTCCCGCACTCCCTGAGAGCAATTCTTGCCCTGGTTTCAGTCTTTTCCTGTCCACATCTTTTCCTCTACTCCTTCCCGACCCTACAGGTCTTGTATTAGGAGAGAATGGACTGTTAAACAGATGCCCTAGGCAGAGCCCCAGAAAAATATAAATCCATAAGTGGCGCAGGCACGTGGTGAGTGCAAAATGACCTTTCTCAAACGCTTTTTTTTTTTTTAACCACCAAGCTCATAACTGTCCCGACGCTAAGCGTGGAGTCTCGGGCTGGACCCCAAACCACAAGCCGCCCTCCATCTGGTACCTAAGCGCCACGGAGGGTGAACGGACCCCGGTGTCCCAGGTTCGGTCCCTCACTTCCTGCCCTCGCGGAGATACTTCGGCGTAGCCGGTTCAAAAATTCCACTAAACGCAGAAATAGTAGCTTAAAAACATAATTTGAAAGAAGAAGTGGAGTCCTAGACAACCCACGTTGCCCGTGCACTAAGAACTATTGGACATGAACTGGGAATTTAGAAAAGAAATTGAATTTCCAAGCACGAATCTTCACGTCTTGAATCTAATTAATTCGGCGGCTGCGATTGCACACGCCAGGGAGATTGAGGAAGAAGTTATGCACTTATTTGGATTACCCAAGCCCAAGAAACTCGAATTGGAAATCCTAAAGTGTGTCCTGAAATCCCCTCTTCATTACTCGAGTCCTTCCTACCATCTGAGTAGACAAAACTCCAGCCCACGGCTGGAGGTCTGCTAAACAGTCCTTGTGGCCAAAGACAACATGGAAATAACAGAGGGATAGCAAATCCGACATCAGTCGGGCCCTCTCAAACCCTCCGACTGCCAGCGGTTAAGTACCTGGTCGGGGAAACTTGCGTCTTTATCTGTCCACAGCTCAGAGGCCGCGGAAGTAGCCTCAGGAGTTGTCAGAGAGAAAAGCAACATTGATTTAAGGTTTTCAAAAACCCCACAGGGCAAATGTGACCGCTGGGGTCAGCCAGTCAGCAGTTTTGGTCCAGACAAGGGACAGCCGAGCGGGGCGGTTCGGTTAAGTCACGGCGCCTCCCGACGTCACACACGCTTGTTCACACTCAGCCACGCGCTTGGGGTTATTCTTTAAACACAGAACTAAGACTCCCTGGGCGAGACCGCCGGGAGCTGAGGAGGGCCGAAACCCCAGATCCAGAGCCCGCCCCTCGCCGGCTCGCCTCCGCCTCCGCCGCGCTGGAGTCTGAGACCGAGCGCTCACTAGCTGGAATTAAGCAGCCCGCGCTTACGCTCTCCGCGGCCTCTCCCAGCCCGCGCGCAGCTCAGGGTCCCAGGTGCGCGGCGGCCGCATTCCCACGCCTTTGCCAGAGCATTGAGGCGGGCATTGGCGAACGCAGCCACGCCCTCCTACCCCAGCCAATAGCGGGCCACGCCGGCCCCCGAGGAGGCGGTGCCCGGCAGGCGGAGGGGTGGGCAAGCCGGGGGTGGGAGAGGTGACCCCGCCCGCGCGGGGGGGCGTGGCCGGCGCCGGCTCTTGCTGCGGAGAAGGGTTGCGGCGTGGGAAAGAGCCGCGAGGAGCCGACCGCGCCGCCGCTGAAGCCTCGCCTGCAGAAGTCCCGGGAGGGAGAGAAGGAGGAGGCAGGCGGGGAGGGTGTTGCACCCCGCTCAGCGTCGGTGATTCCGGCAGGGCTGCGCCCGGAACGGTCTTTGCCGAGATGAAGCGCCCTTGCGAGGAGACGACCTCCGAGAGCGACATGGACGAGACCATCGACGTGGGGAGCGAGAACAATTACTCCGGGTGAGCGCGCGCTGGGCGCGAGCTGCCAGGGCCAAAGGGTGTCGGGGAGCTTTGGGCACGAGGGTTTCTTGGAAATCCCGAGGCTTCTGTCTGCAGCGTCCTGCTAGAGAGAATAAAGTTTTGCCGGAGAAACTTCAAGTGGTGGGCGCTCGTTTAGCGTAAGTTGGGGTGGGGCGAGAGTTGTGGGTTTTCTCTCCAGGGGTGGGGCAGAGGACTGAGGACGCGACTGAACCGGAGAGTGCAGGCGTTGGCGAGGGAGGGTCCCAGGCTGTCAGCTTTGGGCGCGCGGATAGGCACGTCCGGGCAACTGGAGATGCCCCCGCCGCTGAAGCTGTATTTGGAGGCAGTTCCAAAATAGCTCAGGAGAAGAGAAGTAATTTAACTTTTTATTTTTAGAGAGGTTTAGGTTTTGGAGCAATTAAAACAATCTACGATGTCAAGCCTAAGTAGCTTGAATTGTGCAGGTTAACCGTGAGTGATTGGTCTATCAGGCGAGTGAGTGACAGATGTAAGGTTCCAATCTGGCATTTCTTTGACTGATAGTTCTTAAGCCTGGAAAAGATCGGCATTCTGATCACAGAAGCCAGACCTCTACTTTCCTCTGACAGAGGGAGATTACCAAGGCATTTTAGAGCCAAGGCAGGTCAAATGATAATTGCTTCTAATTGCCATCCCCAGAAGCACCTTAATTATTTATCTGCAGCTGTCACTCAAAGAATGAAATTCTTCCTGCCTTTGGAAAACTGTTTTTTTTTCCCCCCCCACATTCTTATTCTAAACAAATCAGAGTCAGGAATCAGCAAAAGCAACCATACTTACATGAAACATTTACAAAGTGTCTTCTTATTAAAGTGTTGTGTCATCTTTAAAAATGAGGTCTGAAAAAACGGAAGATGTCACGTGAAAGGTGAAACCAGTAGAGAAGGAGTGAGAATGAAGGGGTTAGTTAATTCAGAAATAAGATCCAGAAGTGAGAAGGTGAGGTAATAGGAACCTGGTGTGTGCAGTATTTCTGAAATGAAAGAGAACAAATAACAGGACCTGGGGAATTTGAGCCATAAGGAAGCATAGTATTCATGAATTATGAAGAGAAAGAGATACAAACTAGAAAGGAGTGTAAAAGTTATGAGACCAAATAATAATTTTAATTTTTAACATAAAAATGGCTTTTCATTAGTAAACTCAAGGTGGATTGCAGCTTCTGGAGATTTAAGCTTAGTTTGAAAGCTGAGTGACACCTATGGTTTCGTTTTCAAAGTAAAACCTTTACCTAGTACTAAGCCTAACTTTAATTTCGCTGTCATTACATATGTAATTTAGGTTATTCTTTGGGAATGTTAATGTGCAGAACATCAAATTTGTGGGGTTTTTTTCCCCCCTGTGTAAGATACTCCTAATTGAAGTTTTGAAATAATAATAACTTCTCTACATTTTAAAGTTTGCATCTAGGGGCAACAGTTTGATGTGTGATAACTATTTGATAGTGCTGTTTCATATGATCCTTATTTTTGAAAGTGATATTACTTTGTTCAGTGTATCTGACAGGAGGGAGGACCAATAGAATTGGCATCTGGATTACCAATTAAATATCTTTCAAAGGCATAATTCCTGCCTGAAAAGAGACAGAAGGGCCCAAAGCAAGGCTATTAGAAGGGAAGTAAAAACTAAGAATAAAATAACACAGGCATGAATTGTACACTTTGAATATTTAATGGGTGCCACAAGTACCCAGTAGAAACCATTGTTATGTTAATGCAGCACCTGACATACTCTTCCTATTTCATAGGCAAAGTACTAGTTCTGTGATTAGATCGAATTCTCCAACAACAACATCTCAAATTATGGCAAGAAAGAAAAGGAGAGGGGTATGTGATTTTTTTTTCTTTTTATTTCATGTAATCCAGCCTAATATGTAACAGTTGTGTTTTTCCATTATGAGTAATTTTATCATTTATGTATTCATAAACTTCTGTTGTTTTGCTTTCTTTGAGATAGATTATAGAGAAAAGGCGCCGGGATCGGATAAATAACAGTTTATCTGAGTTGAGACGACTGGTGCCAACTGCTTTTGAAAAACAAGTAAGCTACCCCCCTCACCCCCAAAGCCCAAAGAATCTGATTCTCTCATCTGGGAATGTGAGTTTCTTGTTAAAGCTCATTAAAATAATGGTGTATGTGCCCTGATCTGGCACAGAGCAGCTATTTCAATAAAATGCTTTGTTGTGGCAAAACTATTAAAAACATAATCCATCATGAAGTTGAAAAACATTTCCATTCTTTAGCTTATTTTCCCCTTTAGGGTAACAGTGTTCATGCTTTCTTCTGTTCTTTCTATGAACACCAGTAGTGGTTTTGTTTAAAACTGTGCTGTATGTAATATTCTTCAAAACATATATGTGAAATATCATTTTTTCTCAAACTACTAAAAAATCTTTTAAATTAAAAAAAATAAATAAAGCCCAGGAAGTAACTTTCTAGTTCTACTTCCTAAATAATACTACTAATACAATTTCTTTACCAAGCCTCTTGCTTTCGTTTTTAATCGCTAGGTTAATAGAATGATGTTTGATTTGGGGCACATTTTGGAAAGTTGGCAAAAATCAAATTAGTCATAAATGCCTCTTTTCAGGGTTCAAATATTCTTTTACAAAAACCAATTTTACTTAGTTAGAAAAGCAGAAAGCCAAATGTTTAAATCTTTCTTTGTGGTTTAGAAAAGCGACGTTTCTCTGGCTGTAGTGGCTAATGGCACGGATTTCTAAGAGCATCTTTCAAAGGATGTGGCATATGTCCTTGTTGAAAATATTTTCAATTGAATTCCAAGTAGGGTACCAGAAAGCAGTTGTTTGTTTATTCCATTTTTTGTTTGTTTGTTTACTTCATGAATCCACAAACATTCTAAAGCAAGGCCAGCAAAGTCCTTGGAGACTTTCCAGAAACTACAGTTTTTAGTTATTGGTCACTTTCACAGAAACTCCTTGTACATCTTCATGGAAAAGTTGAACACTGACAGAAGTACAGGATATGATATGCTATTGATTATGGATCTTTAAGAGAAAGACACCCAATTTATATGCTGAGACTGTTTTTGTTTTAAATACAAAAATTATATGTTTGATTAGTAGCATTTTCAATGACAAGGGCTGCAAATTAAAATGTCAATAATAAATGTTTTTAAAATTTTGAATATTGAAATGTCTATAGTTATGAGGAACAGTCAGTTTGGTGTGCCCCTCCACTCCCTTGATTGGTTGGATTTTTTTTTTCTCCTTAAAAGTTGACTTAAAACAAACCTTAAGAACAAACCTCAGTTGTTTGGCAGCTAGTTACCATAAACATAAGCTTTCCCATTAGCAGGGTTTGGCTACCAACCCTAGAGAGCTGGCCCTGTCACAATATGATTAGAAGAGTATTTAAACTTTAGAGTTAAATAATTCTAACACTCTTGCCATGTCCTGGGTGCTGATAATTTTCACAAAACAAATAAAGCATAGAAACCTGGAATAAACTTTAGAATGCTTTAAAAGAGAGAGAGAGAGAGAGAGAGGGAGGGAGGGAGGGAGGGAGGGAGGGAGGGAGAGAGAAACACATTGGTTTAATTATTTAGCTCTTCCAGGAAATTAGAAGCCACCCACAGCCCCCTGAGACAGTTTGAGGTGGTATATTTGTATTTCAATTGATTTCCAGGGGTTGCCTTATTTTAAAAAGGGGAACATAAAAATACATTTGCAAGACAAGTTTTATTAAGAACTATTTTAAAAGGTTTAAAAATCCTTAAACATTTATTATGCTTCTTAAACAAGTTGTAAATATTCCTTTTTGTTTGTGATCATGAAATTCACAGTGACACCTGCTGGTAACTATTAAGGGATTAAAAAAAACTAATTTTTTTTTTCTTGGTTCTGCTTACTGGTGGTCTTTATGAATCACCTTAAGGCTTTATCAGAATTTTCTGTTTTTTTTTTTTTTTAATTTTGTAGTTGTAGATGGACAGAATGCCTTTATTTTATTTGTTTATTATTATGTGGTACTGAGGATCGAATCTAGTGCCTCATGTATGCTGGGCAAACACTCTTCCACTGAGCTATTTTCTATTTTTGACTCATCTACTTTTAATAATAATTTGCTAAAATCCTGTCCCCTTATATTCCAGAGTTGGTATTCAACTGATCTATATTCCATCATTATATGAATATTGAATGCTTTCTAATAAAATATAATATTAACCAAGGTAGAAATGAAACACAAAGTTTGACATTTTTTCAATTTTAATACATTTTTGGAGTGATCTTAGGAATATAATTATGATTAAAAATCATTTATTTGATGTCTTCTTTTGGTCTTTAAAAGTTAAAATGACAAGTGCCTATTATTAGGTGTTTCCCTGTAAAGTTTGGAAAGAATTCAGATTTCCCTATGAAGATAATATATTTAGAATTTTCTAGTGAGAGGGAAAATTGAAACTATAAAACTAAATTCCATCTATAATGTTCCAAGTTAATTTCTGAAAGACTTTTGAGAGATTTTTTTTTTTTTTTTAATGAAGGGATCTGCAAAGTTAGAAAAAGCTGAAATATTGCAAATGACAGTGGATCATTTGAAGATGCTTCAGGCAACAGGGGGTAAAGGTAAGTTGGTGGCTTTGTTTTTTTATTCCCTTTCTACCTTTCTCTTTTCATCTTTCCTCTCTAATATTGTAAGGAAGTCATAGTTGAACAGTTCTTTAACAAGCTGAGATAGGCGGCCCCAGATTAAAGCCATGGAAATCAATGCTAATGGCAGGATTGAACTCGTGGGAAAGAACTTCTGTAACAAAAGAAGCACTTGACCCTGGGCTTGTGTTTGCTTTCATAATACTGTGGGAGTAAAGCTTCATTCACAGCAGCCTGGTCAGAGATTTGTTTGGGATTTAAGAAGCGCATGCTGGAATCTGTACAGAAAGACAAAACAAACACACAAACATCCAAATATAAACAGGAGGTTAGAAGCAATCCTTCTTTCTTGTTCTTCTTCCTCTTCCTAATTCTTCCTTCTTCTTTTTACTTCATTAAATCAAGGCCAGAACTCAAAATCATGTAAGAATTGTAAAAGAAGTAACTAGAATTATTTTTATTATTGTTTTCAGAGTTTAGTTGGTCTTGGCTTTAAACTAAACAAAACATTTGAAGTGCAGTTAGGAAATGTCTATATTAGAAATTATGAACAAAGTCGACTCATTCTTGAGCAGACAGGAGTCTCCTCTGGGCCCAGTTCCCTAGAGAGAGATTCTCTGTACTAAACAGTACCTTAGGAAGGAATTTTCAAGGGATCAGAGAAGGATCAGTAGTATCTCAGGCTAAAAATAGTAAAAGCTACAATATCATTCAGATTTCATTATCCCCTTCCCCAAATATCACTTGATGGATGACAGCTTTGATTTTGCTTGTTTGTAGCTTTTTCATTCTTTGGAAGCCTTTGTTATTCATCTCATCCAAGAGTGTTATTCAATATATTTAACCACTGAATAGAGAGAGGGTACTATAAGGAGTTAAGTGTTAAACTAAATACTGGAGGCCTCCTGTGCTCAGCATTAGCCTTCTACTAATAGCTATTATTTCTCAATCAGGGCAGAGCAAGTCATTGGAGGGAAATGACTTTTTACCAGTCGGAGAACTAGTAGATTATCTACCCTGCCTTTAACCATCTTTTACCTGTGTGAAGTACAGAGTGATTATTAAGTTCACACATTATGGCTTATCCAGGTTATACCTTCCCAAGAAGCCATCCCAAATGAAAATAGAGTAATGTTGGATACAAACGTTACTTGTAATATAAAGAAGAGAAGTGAGTTAAATCATACAAAGCTAGTGATCCAGCCTAGCTTGGCCACTGCCTTGCCTTTGACTTCCACAGAAGTAATCTGCTGCTCTTTGAGGCTTCCGTTAGCAAGATGAACTCCAAAGACCTCTCCAGCATCATGGATGTTTCCACACCTAAGGTCTCAGAATGTTGAGACTGATTGAGCTAGTGATGGTACAGAAGAAGTGTGATTGCTCTCCTTCCCTTGGCATTGAAATGTTATCAGGGTTTCAAATATTTGGCATGAGTTGTACTTCTAAAGAGTAATATTGTTCTTTGGCTTCATAATAAAAACTGAGTTCCATCTTGGTTGCTATTCTTGGCTACCTGAACAGTCCTAAAATTCATCCTGGAATAGTTTATGAGCAGATATTTCCAAGTAGGCATCATGCAAATCTCCTGACTGCTGGGTCATTAGAAAGGTCATAGAACAGGAGAATATGTGGGTCTTAAAGAAGGGGGACTGGCAGTTTGGTCTTGCATAATTAAAGACTCCCAGCTATCTCAGAATGTCAGGGTAAAGAGCATAGACTCTAACTTGGTTGTCTTTTCCTAACTCCTGGCTTGACCGTTTGTTAGCTCTGTGACCTGGGATAAATTACTAACCCTTGCTTAATCTCAATTTCATCATCTGTAAAATGAAGATGGTTGTCCATGTTACAGGGTTGTTGTGAGTAAATGCACTTCAAGACTTAAAGTCCATAGAATCATGCTGGCACAGAGCATGGTTATGGACACGTGTGCTATGTTGGCCCGAGATCCATTCACAAGAGACAGCTACTCATCATCGTTTCTCTCTTGCATTCAACAACAGGATAGGAATTAAATAGTTTGTATTTTGTAGGATGCAACAAAAGACTCAGCCATATACAGCAATTTAGCTGGCAAACCACAAACGTCACTTACTTCGTGACCACAAATAAAATTTCTCAGAAGCTCCTGGAGTTTCAAATCTGTTAGTTCATTCTTTATAGACCATCTTGATAATGTGGTAGTTCTAGAGAAGATTTGGTAGAGTCACTTAAATTTCTAAATCTTTTTGGGTTTCTAGACTCTAATCATTACCTTCCTCCTCCTCCTCATGGAAATCAAAAGACTGCAAAGCCCTGCAGAGAACCCTCAGAACTGAAATGTGAAATCTTTTCATGGACACATTAGGAGCTTCTCCTCTAACCCCAGAGGCTTTGTTGATTAGCTGTGCCAAGGTCTTGGGATGATAGCTAGTTTTGCTGCCCATCTTCCACATTCCATGATATTCTCTTGTATAAGCATTGTGCTATTGTTTCTGTTTTAATGGTGAATACATTTGCCCCAAACATCTTTTTTAAGACTTCCAGGTTTCTATTGGAATTCTAGCTTTACAATTTTGACTCTATGTGACTACTCTTTTCCAAAATACTTAGGTTCTAATTTAAGTTAGTCTAATTTTTAGTAGATGATAAACAGGTAATACTTTGAGCTGAAAAGCATAAAAAGATAATATAGTAAATGCCTTAGATGAAATTGATCTTATTTCTCATTCATGTATACATACATCCAAAATGTGAGTACAGTAAACTTCTAATTAGAAAATTACTTAAGAAGAAATTGCAAATTAGAAAGAATCAGAAAAGGATATATTTGGACAGACTGGTGATCAAAGAAGGTGCCATTCCCCCCCCCCAAAAGTATCTATTATCATGCCCTTAATTGGCACTATAACAATTAGAAATCACCATTTCCTATAATGAATTATCTCTGGATAAAAGAAGACTTATAAAAGGCCCAACTTTAGCTATTTTTATGGTAATAACCTACAGATGTGGGCTGTTGGGGCATATACACAGATACAATTAATACACATTTTTCCCTTGGGCAGATGCCACATAAAAGTCAAATAACCAACAAAGGAGATACATATTTGAACTTCAGAAAAACAAAGATTATACAATAGTAATCTCATTTTACTAGAACACCCTTGCATTATCTGACAGAAAAATCAGATCTTCAAATTAGCAACCAATTAAAAAAAAACCACCTCATTTTGTTTTCATTCAATTCATACAAAATAATGATGTATTCACTTTGTTGATTAAAAAAAGTGTGAGTCAAAAAGTACTTATGAATTAGTGAAATTGTAGCACATATCTACAGAAAGTCCTCAAACTGCTAATTTGCATTTTACAGATGTTTCAGATAAGCCCTGTAATTTCTAACACTTGGGACAGAGGAGAGAAGCCTTTTAGAAGCCTTTTCTATTTCCATGAAAAAGTTTACTGGGGAATGTCCTTATCTCACAATGCTAAAGAAGAGACACCTTTTTTCTTTTTTTTTTTTTTCCTGGAAAATTTTAAAAAGGGACATTATTAATCCCCCCCCCTAATATTTACTTGCAAGAACAACTGTGACACATTACCAGTGCTGTCACACATGCAAGTTTGAAAGCATACTTTCTTCTACAGAAATTAAAACTATAAATAACTGGCAATATTTTCAGAAAAGATTATCTTTCTACTTAAATATCCTAAGGGCACAGTAGGACTCATGTAATCTCATTTTGCTCCTCCTTATCTTTCCATCTCCCCACCCCCACCCCACTCTCCTCAAACCGGTTTTTAGGCTACTTTGACGCCCATGCCCTTGCCATGGACTTCATGAGTATTGGATTCCGAGAGTGCCTGACAGAAGTGGCCAGATACCTAAGCTCTGTAGAAGGCCTGGACTCCTCAGATCCACTACGCGTGCGCCTCGTATCTCATCTCAGCACTTGCGCCTCCCAGCGGGAGGCAGCCGCAATGACATCCTCAATGGCCCATCACCATCACTCCCTTCATCCACATCACTGGGCAGCAGCCTTCCACCATCTTCCTGCGGCCTTGCTCCAACCCAACGGACTCCATGCCTCGGAGTCAACACCTTGTCGCCTCTCTACAACTTCAGAAGTGCCTCCTGCCCATGGCTCTGCCCTCCTCACGGCCACATTTGCCCATGCAGATTCTGCCCTTCGAATGCCATCAACTGGCAGCGTTGCCCCTTGTGTGCCACCTCTCTCCACCTCTCTCTTGTCCCTCTCAGCTACCGTCCATGCCGCAGCTGCAGCAGCCACTGCAGCTGCACACAGCTTCCCTCTGTCCTTCGCGGGAGCATTTCCCATGCTCCCCCCAAATGCAGCTGCAGCAGTGGCAGCAGCAACAGCAATCAGCCCACCCTTATCAGTGTCAGCCACATCCAGTCCCCAGCAGACAAGCAGCGGAACAAACAGTAAACCTTACCGACCCTGGGGGACAGAAGTTGGAGCTTTTTAAGTTATGCTTGAACTTCTTGCAATTGTAATTGAATGTTCTTCATTTCAGAGTCGGCTTAAAACCTCTGCACCATGAAGGTAGCCATACAGATACCTACAGATCCACAAAGGAACAATAAAGCTATTTGAGACACAAACCTCACGAGTGGAAATGTGGTATTATCTTTTTTTCTTTTTTTGTTTAAGGCAGCTTGGTAACCGAACCGACATCAGCAACTTTTGAAAACTCAACACTTGTTTCCATTAAAAGTTTCCTGAAAAATACATGGACTGTAACATTCAGTTACATGTGCATCTGCACAACCGAATTGGGGAAGAAAAATGTCATGACTGAATTCTCTGGAACCTAGATGGGGAAAAGAAATCCATCTTTCATAAGTGCCTGAGCTAAGGAAGGTTTTCTTCTGAACATGCAACATTGCACAAGAAGAGTGTAGGCATTAGGTTAAGAAAGGAAAGGAACAGAAGTCTTGCATTAGGCTGCAGACAATGCCAGAATATTCTGTTGAAACCAACAGTTTTTATTGGTCAAAAAGATTGCTGAAAATTATTTTCAAGTTGAAAGACCTAGTTTGATCTTAGTTTGCTTTCTTTGTACAGACTTGCCAAGCAGTAACATTTAGCATTGAATTGGTAGAAACAATTATTCCATCAGAACCCAGATTAACAAGCATTTCTGCTCTGCCTGCAAGCCCCCAGGCACTTTTTTTAGATGGTTCAAAATACGGTGCTTCTTTATATAAACCTTACATTTATATAGTGCATCTAGAAGCAATTGCCTACTGTGTGCCTACCAGAGGCCAATTCATGCCAACTTGGAAACACTCCAATTTGCAAGACTTTGGATTAATTTATTCAGTTTCATTTGGACTATTTTTATATATTTATCCTCTTCATTTTCTCCACATAACATGTAACATCTGATCTTGTCACCTTTTGGGGAGATGTATTTCTGGAGGTGATGAGAAAAGGAGAGAACATTGGGAAGAGAAAAACCACAGTTTTAAAATATTCTTGCTCAAGTTAGTGATCACATTTGATCCCAAATCAAGATGAATGTATGCAATGGGATGTACATAAATTATTTTTGCCCATGCCTAGACTAGTACTACATAATGCTGTTTTGTTTTTTAGATTTTTGCTTAATGGCAAAATAATCTCTTAATACATTGAAATTGAGCACGTGAGATTTTTATATTTGAAAGATAAAAACACAGCATGTATTATGCACTTCATTTCTCTGCTGTGTGGAGAAAGCAATAAACATTATGAAAATGTTAAACATTATGCAAAAATACTTTTAAATATTTGTTTTAAAATTACTGTACCTAGTCTTTTTCGCATTACTTTGTAACCTCTTTCTATGCAAAAGTCTACATTTCACTAATTAAATGAAGTTCTTTTTGACTATTTTTATGTGGATGATTTGATTTTCAGATGGAAAGTTGATGTGAATTTCAAGTGAGGCCTTCCTTTACATGACTTTTCTATATATATTTCAAAATCATTTGGTATAATTCACAGCTCACTTGAAATAGCATTTATATGAGTTTATAAGTCAATTAAACATAGGCAGAGGAGACATTTGGAGGCAAGAAGTGTTTATTTTCCTTTGCCATTTAGTATTAACCATAATTCTTGGTAAAGTGCAAATTCAATACTTCCAAATGTGAGAATACCTCATATGGATAATGATCTAGAATGTGTAATGCATTTTGTAACTCAAAAATATTTGTAAAGTGTCTGTAAACATCACCTAACTGCATAATAGGCATATGCATGCATCCAGAACATTTATTTTGTTGATATGGATCTATTGTGGGCATTTTCCCCTCTGGTGGAGAGATATAAAATAAGATCTTTATATCTAAAATAAGATATAAAGTTCCTGAAGCCATTGGACCAAAAAGATGAAAAGAAAGAAAAAAAATTCTTCTTATGTATATCAATATGCTCAAAGTAAAAAGAAGGAGAGTTATTTTTCTGTCCATAAGTGGTTAAAAAGAGATAGTTGCAAATCATCTTATTCCTCCTGTCTATAACCCTGTAGTTCTGATGCCTTCAGATAGTTTTGATGAAAGTAGGTAGTTTGGGGCTATTTTTCTTTTTTGTGATACCTAGGGCCTCGTGCATGCTAGGCAAGCACTCTACCACTGAGCTACATTCCCAGCTCTGAAGTTTGTTTTTTAATCATGATGTATGAATAATAGTCATATTAAGTAATTTTTATTTTAAGATCTTAAAATCAGTTCTGTGCTTGGAGTAATGACAGCATTTAGAGAACAGTTTTTCCTTTTTTCAAACGCAAACTGCTTTAAAGATCAAGAACTTTTTAAAATTGGAAATAAATATTTTAAGATAAATCCCCTTTCCTACTCCTTCCCTCATTTATCCTGCTACATTATTTCCTCCCCAGTTATAAAATATGGTTTATTATTTTTCAGTTTAATGGATTAAATGTTTGCAAACCAACTTGCCTCATAGTTGATAAGTCAGTGTTCCTTAAAATAATCTGTCAGTAATTTCAGTAGCTTCAAATTAATTGGTCCATGATGAGTGTTTCATGTCATTAGCTTTTAAATCACATTTCATTATTTATATTAACCAGATCATTGAGTTTACCATCTTTCATTCAAGTGTGCTGTGAAGAGGTGTACCACTTTTAAGTATGGTAATTTTCATGTATGTAACCAAAATTAAAAAGGGATTATGCCCTATCAACTGGTTTCAGGGGAAAAAAAGAACTTTTATGGTTTGATTTATTGGTGACCTTTATTTGTGTAAAAGTGGATCTCAAAATTAACTCATAGAGATTTTAGTTAGATAAAAAGAAAAGGCAGCAGTTTGGGGAATTTGAGTTCTCCTTCCTTTAATAGCTTTATGTATGCCCAACTAGAACACAGTTCTGGATTTCACATCAGTAAGTCAGAAGGTATTTATTGAGTAACTGTTGTTTACCCAGCACTGCGCAGTATGTGTCAGGTTTTGAGTAGTGTGTAGTCAGTGTACCTTAAGATAATCTTTGAGCATATGAAAGTACAATCCTACATTTAACAGTGACAGGTAGGTATGTTGCTGCCCTAGATATCTGCAGGGACACTGAAAAGAAGGAGGCATGGTTGAGAGGGAAAACGGGGTTTCTGGGAACAGGTGGGGAGGGCTTTTTGTTTTTCTTGAGAACTTTTGCTAAAACAAATAAGATATTTCCTAGCATATTTGAAGAAATATGAGGGATTTAAAAAGTAATATTAACAACAAAAATCCAAGTATTAACTAAATCTATGGCTCTCATTTCCACGTGTGCAAAGGTATTAGCAATAATGAATGCTTTTTTATCTTATGTATTTGACTTGTTCTTTTTATTCATCATAAAGTACAAGTAATCATCTTAGATGACATCATCACAGAGCAATATGATGTTAGAATTCCATATTCTTGTATGTTTAAGATGTTATCAGTTGCAAGATATCCTACTGGCCTAACTTCAAGTTTTAAGGAAAAAGAGCTGCAACATAACTTTATACATTGATCATAAAATAGTCTAATTAGCAGCATGTAAAAATGAAAAAGAATGCACCTTAGATTTGAAGCAATATATTAACATACTGATGATGAATGAATGCAATTTTAGAAATCCATGGCTAGAGGTATTCATGGATTAAAATTTGGCTAGTTTAGCTTACCTTTAAAATATGTCATTAGGACAGGGTCCTGGTGAAGTTAAAGAATCTACATTGACTTTGTATGCTTAGTAATCTAAGGGTAGTTTTGTTTGTTTGTTTGTTTTGTTTTAGTTTTTCAGGTTTTAGATGCCCAGTGGGACCACTTTTATTCTGAGTTTTACTGGAGTGGGGTTTGGCTTCCTCTTATAATTCTTTTAAGATCTAAGCAATGACTAGGGTGGTGAATATTTTAGCAACTACAACAAAGCATTGCAGCAAACATGACCTCATAAACTGTGAATATAGCTGATATTCTTTGGAAAGACAAGTCTTTGAACTTCGATGGCAGATATTAAAAAGAAGAAAAGCCCCTGAGCTTACACAATCTGGTGCGAGGGGCCAGAGCATATGGGAAGTGGTTGTGTAGGCACCAAGGTCCCCTCACTTCTTACTTCAAAGGAAAAGAAAAGAATAAGGCTGGTCAGATCCTCTGCTGTGGGAACCAGCACCCTCTGTAAGACATGGCTAAGAAAGAAAATCAGCTGTGGTACTACTGCCAAAATTATGTGGTGGTTTTCTATGTTAAGCCTCATGCTGAGTGTTTGAAATCTATTTCCTCATTTAAACTCATGACTTTCCTATAAAGTAGGTAATAATATACTTATTTGTATATTAGGAATTGGAAAACAAGACATTAATTACCCATCCTATCTAGCAGGTGGAACTATGACTGAACTTAGGCCTGTTTGACTCTTCAGCCCATACTTTTGGCCTGTAGGCTGTGGCTTTTGACCCAAGGTTTTGGAACCCTAGGATTCCAACCTGTGTGCAATCCCTTTGGACTGATGGCAAGGGTGAATGTATCTGTAATATTAACATAAACACCAGCATCTCACCTCTTCAGTATGTGAAAGGATGGAAAAGTAAGAAATTCCACTTTATTCTATAATACAACACAAAAGGAAGATTCTTTGGGCAGTTCTCTAGTTTAAACTCCAAGCAGGTTATACCTATCTTATATTCATCAGTGAATTTACCAGAGCTCTGTAAAGTCTACCAGATAATATTCTATAGTCTCACTCAATGTGGTTGACAAAGGTGAGGCAAAATGTTGAGGAACTAAGACAAAGCAGGAAGAAAAATGAGTTGGTGGGCTGTGTGTGTGTGTGTGTGGGGGGGTTAGTCCCTATTCTTCCATTGAACATAAAAGAATTTTTTGGTTGGGTTTTTTGTTGTTGTTGTTGTTTTTAATGATGGATTATTCTGAATTTTAAACATTTCAGGTCTATCATGTCATCAAACAACATTTTTTTATTTGATCTATACTGAGCTGCCCAGTAACCTCACTTTTAAGCAATTCTCATTATTAGGGTTTAAATTAACCTAAACTCTTTAGCCTATAATTAAAAATGTTTTCTATAGCCATTAAGAATATATATTATATTATATTATATTATATTTATATTTATATTTTA